TCAAGCTACCAAGCTACTGGCAAGCTAATAGCTTAAATAGCTTTAATGCTAATTATAGAATTATCAAACTACAGGGGTCGAATATAAATTTCTGTTTTTCTTAATTCAGCCACCCTTAAAATTATTTGTGACATGGTTGACTTGCGACAAAATGAATCCCGCCCCGCCTACGAAGATGTACCATCTGATCTGACCAGGAAGATGTTGAGAGATTGAGTGAAGGTGAACAGCCTGTGGCACTGGTACTCAACACCCAAACCGCTGCACGGAAGCGAATCCGGCGCACGCTGGCTCAAGCGAACGTTCTGGTTGTCGATACTCTAACGGCTATGACGAACAACACCCCTTCATGCCGTCGACTTGTGGAGACCCTGTGTCCTGAGATCGTGACCAGCAAATCCGCGCAAGATTCTGGTCTACCGGAAGTGGGTCTGGCGGACGCTGCGATGCGTCAAGATGTGGACCCGGAGGAAGGCCCAGCCCCTGCTGTGGATGATTCACTCAGCACCGCGGCAAACGTCGGTAGTGCAGTGACGGGTCTGGTCGTGGAGCAGGATGATAATCTAAATTATGATGGCTCTTTGAAGGCTAAGGCCAAGGCAAAGACCTACTATTGAGAACATTTCGACATCGTAGTATTTCGCACGTGCGTAAATCAAGAGACCCGGAAAAGCGAAACCGTGGAAATCGAAAGAGTCTCAGCCGTTGAGGCGAAGCATAAGGAACTGAAAGAGAGAAAGAAAGAAAAGGGAATCTCCATCTATGTGATTTGCAACGCCTGCAAGAGTCCGCAGTTCAAAAGATCGTTTGGCTGCTTGAACTCCGTTTCCAAGGGTCATCACGACTTCTTGCATGCTGCCGCCTCAGAATCAACGGCGGCAAAACGGTCAGTGATCCTGCCCAAATAAGAAACCGTTTTGATTCCGAAGCCGTTGATCGAGGCACTCATCCAGTGAATCATCGACAACAACCAGGCCCTCTCGGTTGTTGAATGTGCCTGGTTTAGGTGTTTCTGTCAGAAGTTGAATGATAAGTACCATCTTCCGTGCAGAAGGACCGTTCGCGCCCGAATATTGACATTGCTGAAAGAAACGCAACCATCGATGAAAAAGCTGCTCGACGCAGAGGTGCTGCTGGGAACATTTTCTGCTCTGACACTTGACTTTTGGACGTCGGTTGTAACTGTACCCTTCGTTGCGATCACGATTCATTTTGTTTCAGCTGATTGGACGTATAACAACTTCCTATTGGCGTTTCGTCACGTAGCCCATCCGCACGGTGCACCGAAAGTAGCGGCTGCGATCCAAGAGGTGGCCACCGAGTTCGATCCAAGACTCAATCAGTGGAATGACTAGCGACAATGCGGAAAATATGGTCAAGGGA